TCCATTATTGCTAGCTAATGTAGGCTATTTGATCTGATTTTGTATGATCCAAAACATATAAAAGCTTGCATGAAATCCATTATTGCTAGCTAATGTGCAACTACAGAACTACCAGAAAAGCAACCCCTGAGGACTTAAAACCAGATATCTAAGAGCAATAGATCCCAGATTAATAGACTGTCCGCCACAGAAAACATAACAAAAATGACTTTGGCTGAATATCAAACAGAAACAATACCTCCACCCCAACTGCCAATATAAGATAGAAGGCAGCCAAGTCATTCAACGAAATCAATCTGGGGGAAAAAGGTGAAATACAACAAGTTGAATTACATATTTTACCACACGGACAGGGGGCTTTTGACACTGATCACTTGTCACATCACAAATCCATAACTAGATATATAATCCATGATTTCCAGTTCATATTGCCCAAAATAAGATAAAAGAAATCGCAGATTGAACAAATGCATCAAAATGGTAGCAGATAGAAGGAGCACATAGCCATAGTCAAGTGATCTCAGACTCGACAATCAGACACTAACTCAAATGTACGGAACAGTACAAACTATGTCACAGTCTGAATATACATGTCAGGCCTCTCCAACCTAATGCTTAAGTGATAATAATAAGCTAGAAAGCAGACAGCTCACTTGCATGCTGTTTTCCAAATAATCATAGAACTCATAAAAGTGAAGCTACTGCATTCAGAATAAGCACAGGCATATATATCAAAAGAAACACTCTCTGTCGACATCAGAATAAACTACCACATTGCATGCTGTTTTTTAAATAAGCCTCAAATGTTAAAAGAAATACTTAGGCATATACATACCCTACGATCATGCTCCTCCGCAAAATACTCTCTGTTGACATCACTCTTTGGAATGGCGTCATTGGAATTAATGCTGAGAGCTGTATCTCGAACTTGAACTGGCAGACCATATTCAAGATCCAGAAGGCATACTTGACAAACATTTTTCAATTTGCTGCATGTCTGGCAAACCTCAGTTTTTTTAAATCTTGCATCACGACCTGGTCTCCACCTAAAAACTGTGAATGGCCTAGTGCAAATCTTGCACTCCTTATCATAATCTGCTTTCGTCTGAATTCCAACAAAAATAAACTAATAAATCATACAAGCAATGGATTTTCCTGACAGAAGAACTTAAACTATAACATAAAATATTCTTCTTCATAATATTTACCCTCTATACCATACAATTAATTATCTCAATAACAAATAGGTCAAACTGCAGTCATGATAATAATCAAGCAACAAACATAACCAATCACACAGTAATTTACTCGTGATTCCAGAGTGGATAGTGCATAACAGTGCTTACAACATGTCTATCTCCAACCTGTGCTACCTCAGAAACACACTCCCATCCTTCGCTAGCTCAAAAACACACTGCCATCATTGCACAGAAGCATCCCTGGGTAGAATTCTTTCTGGATATACCCAAATAGGTGTCCTAGATTGCACAATAATTTTTACAACATGTCTATCTCCAATCCGTGCTACCTCAAGAAAACATACTCCCATAATTGCCTCGGGGCTATATCTACGTAGAAACACTTCTTGCCCGATATAACCAAACAGGTGCCCTTTCAACTCCAATATCATACTCCCCTCGATTGTCAGCCTTCATGGAAGGCCGGTGACATTTCATGGTTTCCTTTTACCAACATCGAAGTTCACAAATATTCATGTGAAAATAAAAATACAAGTGCGCGAATCCGCAAGTTCAAATTAAAGAAACCCAAAATCCAAAATAACATCAAAGAATAAAGCGAACATTACGCACCACATAACATCGATAAATCATACTAATTTAACAACTACCTAAGTTAAGCCACGCAAATCACACTCGAATATATGATTCGACAAGAAAACAAAAATCTTAACTTAAGTTTAGACGGGATTTCGAATCAATACCATTCGCACGTAAGGATTGTCGCCGAGACAGGACTCGCAGATGATGGGGAAATCGGATCTTTCCCAGCCATCGGCCTCGTAATCTCTAATAACTCTATGCGCCATTACTTCCTCTTCCTTTCTCTATCCCCTTCTTTCTAGCTCACACCCCTGCTCACTTTCTCTCTCTATATATATAAATACGTAGTATCAAGAAGCGTAAATAAACCAAAAAGAAAACCAAGAAGAACAACAAAGAGATGCTTAGACGAATCCCTATGCCGAGTGGAGTAGGAGAAGATCAAAGACAAAACCAGACATCTGTAAATCGAAAGATTACCTAGGGCTTGATAAGAGGCTTTTGTGATCGAGTTTTGACGAGAGATATGCGCGTTTCTTTTTAGACGTGGGGAGCGATATGAAACGACAGCGTATAGGGAAGACTCCTGGAGACCGTCTTTGTTTTGATATAACGGGCCCCATTACTGGACCCTGTCTATTCTAACCCACCCTGCGGCTCATTGTGGGCTTAGCCCATTTTAAAATATAATTGAAATGACTCGAACTCAACTTCTCAAGTCCACAATAAAAACGTAACTATAATTATTAGTTTATTTTAATTAAAAATATTTATTAATTTTACCTTAAAGTTATAAATTTATCTTAATATATTTTAAACGTTAGAATTACCTTATTTTATTGACCACTTATTGGAAATTTCGGTTTATTTATTATTTTTATTTTATTTATTTTGAGTTTATTATTACTGTATCGAATAATTTCTATATTAAAATATTAATAAATTAACAAGTTAAAAATTATGCACGTTAATATATATGCACAGAGATATGGAAATAAGATATTTGACCTTTAACAATAACAAAAATAACTTGATGGAATGAAACAATATTATGTTTGGTACAATTTTTTGCTGTAATTTTTGTGTTTTAAGATTACTTTTGCAGCAAAACAAATAAAATGTAAGGTGTGTGTACCAATAGTTAAATCCAAAATATAGGTTTGATACGTATAAAATCATTTAAAAAATAATTTTAATTTTTACTGAAAATTTACATTTAAATTTTAAAATTATCTTCGCTCAAAATATATAATTACACACATATCTTATACATACATATATATATATATATATAAATCCAACTCCTTCTTCCATATTTTTTCAAACTAACCGTTCACCTCCTCTACCTCTCCACAAGTGAGTAGCATCCTTCTTCGTTATCGACAATCTCAAATTATAATCAACAGTTATGTTATCAACCAACTGCGTGGATTAATTATACCCGAGTTAATACTTGATATGTGACTTTATTGTTATGACATTCAATGTGCTAACTTCATAAGACAAGTAAGTAAGTGATCAAACAAAGATAAAACTAAATATAAAGTATAATAACAAATACACTCGGAGATGACACCTACAATTATATTTTTATCCAATGGCACTTAGTTAGACTTTTATAGTTGGATTCCCCATGAAGAATACAATTTGATATTTTTAATTAATTGAATATTGACTCATATTTTTTATAAATCAAAAGAACTATAATCTAAAAAGCAAGCCATTATACATAAGCATGATTTATCCTGATGATATTCCTCTTAAGGAAAATAGTGAGGCTTCGCTATGCCTGGATGACAACCAATCGACCAAAAAGGTCAGGATAAGAAAATGACCTATTAAACCACCACTGGAAGGAGATGAGAAGGCGGAACAGATGGCAGATATGAACATGGATGAGGGAAACAAGATGGACTTGACAGCATATGAGGAAGATTGTCAAGTGGACACTGCTCCAAACAGAGTAGGCCAATTCCAAGCTTGGGGACGAGACGAGGTATCATTCAGGGACAAGCTCACCAACACAAAAGCCCAAGAATAAAAATAAAAGACTTTGAAATTTAGGAGGAGGATGTGGTGGTCGTGTTTAGTGGAGACTTTCTCATTGTCTCGTTCTCAGACAGAGTTTATAACTATCTATCTCAGCCCATGAAAAACTCTGTGATCATCATATTACTAGGCAAAACAATCGAATACAGGCCCCTACTTGGCCAACTTCAAAGTCTATAGCAACTGACAGAGACATTCCAACTGATGGACCTAGAAAATGGCTACTACCTAGTCAAGTTCAGCGATGCGGATGACTTCACGCACACTCTAACTGGTGGTCCTTGGGATCATCTATGGACATTATCTGACAGTGCAGCCATGGACGTCGTCATTCTTGATGAGCGAGGATCGTGTGGCATCGGTGGTTGCCCGGGTCTAGTTTCCTAGACTATGGATCCAATATTACCACAAAAGCATTTTGCGAGCAATTAATAAGGTAATTGGGACAATTGTATGCATCGATTACAACATGAAAACCACTGAAAGAGGGAAGTTTACTACGCTTGCCATTTCGGTGGACCTCACGAAACTATTGATATCCACAATAATGATCAAAGGGCACTTGCAACGGGTTGAGTATGAGGGTCTTCCTCTCATATGCTTTGAATATGGGTGTTATGGCTATCTTTAAGAACATTGCCCTATGATAGGCAAGGACACCCCGATGGAAGGGGAAGGGGTAAAAGAAGCGACCAGCGGACCTATAACACCTCCGGTGGTGCCGAAAAAAAAAGTTCGGCCCTTAGAAGTAGGTGATCTGCCAGGGAAGGAAAGATACCAGAAAAGGAAACTTATTTGGGAACAAGGAGACTTCCGTGAATCGTGGAAGAAATGACATTAGATCAAAATTTGATATGATTGCCAAAATGGGCAACGTCAATCTCGATTCTAATGGCCTACATGCGAATTCAGCAGGGGTGAAGTTTCAAGAATTGGAATCGGGTGTGAAAGGAGGAGAGAATGAGAAGAGCCTTAAATACAGGTAGGAGAAAAGAGGGGATGGATTTTCGGTGATAGGCCAAGTAAGTCCAAAATAAGTCCAATAAAACATATCCTCTCAACTGCCAACCTGGACTAAAATAGCAGGCCAATGGCAAACTTGGGCTTAATTCAAGTCTCCTCTCAACAAGTGACGACCCAAATTATTTCAATCGGGGCAAGATGAGTTATGGAGAATAATATGGGCCTGCCTTTTAGCCCTAACCCGCACGTGACGATCGAACACATCACCTCTATCCTTGACAGCCAGAAGCATTATGTGACCTGAATCGAAAAGGACAAGGACGGCAAGGCAACAGCGTCACACCGGTTGCCACTTCTAGTTATGGCACTAAGCTCTCGAACAACACCTTTCAGAAAGCTTCTCAGCCACCAGACAAGCATCTGTCTGACATCAGGGTTAACAAGGCCTCTTGTCAAGATCTGAAATTAAAGAAACGCCACGAGGAGGTTACAGAGACATCAAAACTCGCAACCACATCTCTTCTGGATGGGACATAGGATGGGTTTGAGATGGAGACGGACACTAGCCCACTCGACGAGCTTATAAGCATTGCGATCTGATATGGTCGCGCCATGTTTTGCCTCCTTCCTGATTTCTCTGGTGTTGTCTTTTAGCTGCCTTATTTCCTTCCTACATTTGTCCATGGAACACAAAATCTTCATATTGAATTGTCAGGGTGTGGCAAGTTCCAGTTTCGGCCGAATTTTTTGGGCTTTTACCCATCTATATAGGCCTAGAATTGTAGTCCTAATAGAGCCACATACTGTTGGGGATAAAGCTGAAAAGATTATTTGTAGCATGACTTTGGCTCCTCTCACCGAGTGGAAGCTCTTAGGTTCTCTAGTGGTATTTGGCTCCTCTAGAATGACCCCTATCAAGTTAATATCTTAGTTAATAATAGTCAATTTATTCACGCCAAGATCCACTGAAATGAGGATGATCGTAAGATTTTGTTCACGGCAGTCTATGGGAGCCCCAATGACAGAATCACTGCCACTTATGAGACTTTCTCAACTAGCTTAGTACAACTATTGATGACCCTTGATTGTTTGCCAGTGATTTTAGTGTGATTTTGGATAGTTCGAACAGGATGAGTGAGGCTACAAAAAGTTATAAAGGGCGTTTGTATTTTTCCTAGTTTATTAGCCACAACACCCTCTCCCAAGTGGACTATGTAGGCCCTGCTTTCACCTAGTGCAGAGACACTCTCCTTCAACATCTCGACAGGGCTCTTGCCAACATGACATGGCTGAGTACTTTTTTTAAGACTTTAATGCAACACCTTCCCAAACTTTAGTCGGATCATCGGCCACTCCTGATTAATACTTGGGTGTCACACGTAAAGTCGGAAACCACAACTTTTTCAGTTTCTTGCGACGTGGCTTACTCATCCCGACTTCCCTATACTCGTCCATAACAGCTGGCAGAAAGATAGCTCCTTCTAGGCCACCCGTGAGCACTTCTCTAAATAGGCCAACGATTGAAATTCCACCATCTTTAGTCATATTTTCATAAAGAATAAACATTTGTTGGCCCATATCACTAGCATCTAAAAGACACCGAAACAAACCCATTATGAGTATCTCATCAATTTGGAAATGGTCCTGCATAAAGAGCTTGAGGAAGTGTTGTTGCAGGAAAAATTATTTTGGATGCAAAAATTGCGGTGTGAGTTTATTTCGCTTAGTGATAAGAACACGAAGTACTTCTATGTATGTACTATAGCTCGCCGTCGACGTAATAAAATTGTTATGCTTCAAGATGCTGATGGGAACTGAGTATCCGATGAAGGTCATCTCAGACACATTGCTGTGAGTTTCTTCAATGAACTTTATTCTAGAGATTGGAAGCTCCAACCTATCAGATAAGGGGTAGGTTCGCGCCCCTTATGACAACCGCGCTTAATTTGCTTAATGCCTCTGTTACTAAAGATGAGGTTCGTCTGGCCCTATTTGCCATGAAATCGCTCAAGGTCCTTGGACTAGGCAACATTCATGCGACATTTTTCTAACACCATTAGGAGGTTGTGGGGTACTCGATTTGTGAGATGGTGATGAAAGTTTTCCAGGGGGGCTGATTTGGAGAAGAGTATTAACAGGACTTTAATTAACTTGATCCCCAAGGTGGCTAGACCCACTACCATCAAGGACTACCGTTCTATTAGCCTTCCTAATGTTTCCTACAAGATTATTACCAAGCTGATTGTCAACAAACTTAAGAGTATCATGTCTAGACTCATCAGTGGCACACAGGCTAGTTTTGTGGAGGGCCGAAGTATCTCGGATAATATAATTATAGCCCAGGAGGTCATTCACTCCATGAGGCATAAGACTGACAAGGTTGGTTGGATGATGATCAAAGTATACCTAAAGAAAGCCTATGATACACCCAATTGGGATTTTATTGAGGATACCTTATGAGACATTGGTTTCCCATAGCTCTTCGTCAAAGTTATTTTGCAGTGCATTTGCTCTGGTTCCATGCAATTGTTGTGGAATGGGGAGACCACTAAAGAATTTGTTCTCTCATGTGGCATTCGTCAGGGTGACCCTCTGTCTCCTTACATCTTCATGTTATGTATTGAACACCTCTCACAATACATTAATCAATTGGTTAATTGTGAGGCGTGGTTTCTAATTTTCCTAAGTAAGCGAGGCCCCAAACTTTCATATTTTTTTTCGCTGATGATTTGATTCTCTTTAGTAGCACATCAGATAGGCAGGTTCAACTCATCAAAATTGTGTTTGTTGAGTTTTGTGAGAGCTTCGGGCACAAAATTAACACTTCCAAGACTCGTATCTATTTCTTTCACAATGTTGCAGCCAATGAAGCTACTAGAATCAGTAATGAGTTTGGTTTTCAGGTCTCGCTGGATCTGGGTATGTATCTTGGGGTTCCCCTACTCCATGGCATAATCATGAAAAACACCTATAGGTATATCCTTGAGAAGGTTTGGGCGAAACTCTTCGGGTGAAAAGCTAACTGCCTCTCTATGGCCGATCGTCTCACTCTAGCCAAATCCATGCTCATGGCTATTTCTACCTATATTATGCAGACCGCTACCATTCCCAACTCGCTTTGTGATTAAATTGACGCCTAGTGCGGGAATTTGTCTGGGCTTCTTCTAAAAATGGGAAGAAGGTCAGCTTGGTTAGTTGACAGGAGATGTGTCGCTCCATTTCTCATGGTGGGGGCGACCTCCCCAGCCTCAGAGCGCTTAATAAGGCTTTCCTCATGAAATTGGACTTTTTTATCTTGACGAAGCCTTTTGGGTTCAAATTTTGCGTTACAAATAAAAGTGGGACTATTCCTATAGGTCTCTCCCTAATTCGATTACGTGTTCCTACCTTTGGAGGAAACTGAGTGGTCTTTGGGAGAAGTTGAACCATGGGCTGGCCTAGCATATTGGAGACAAGAATACTGTGAGGTTATGGGATGATATTTGGTTAATGAATTGTGGCCATTTCAAGTTTCTTATCTTTCAACCAGTCACTGATACACAGGGTTCTATGCGTATTAAGGATCTGGTGACCTCGATCGGTCAGTGGGACTGGAATCTTCTACAAAACTTGCTTCCACACAACATTCTTCTTTATTTGGCTACTGTTAGTCCCCCACAAGATGATAGGGGGCCCGATGGCCTTTTTTTGGGCCTTTCGTCTAACGATAAATTTTTTATTAAATTTGTTTATCATATGTTCGCTGACATTCTCCTTTTTTTGTAGATAATAGATGGGACTTGGCGTGGAAGTGGTCGGGTGCCCAACGTGTTCGTTATTTTCCTTGGTTGGTCTTGCGAAAGGGCCTCATCACGAGCGAGGAATGGGTTTGCTAACACATGGCGGATGATCCTAGCTGCATGGTCTACGGTACTAATATTGAAAACCTCAACCATGTCCTGAGGGGTTGTCATCGGGCACATATTCTTTGGAGCAAGATCATTCTTTAGTTGACTGCCCCTATTTTCTTTAATTTTTTTTTAATGCATGATTCACTGCAAACCTGCAGAATAAGTTCAGCTGGTGCTCGTCCTTTAGGAATTAGAAGACTGTGTTTGGCATTACCTGTTGGCTCATTTGGAAACAAAGGAATGTGTTCATGTTTGGGGGTAGCTCTTATAGTTTGGAGGAACTAAAACACAAGATCTTCAGGTTGATGGGGTACACCTTTCAGGCTTCTGTCATTGGGACGACCATATCTGGCCATCGCACTGGTAGAGTGGAGAAACTTATAAACTAGACCCCACCACTTTATCGTTGGATTAAGATCAACACTGATGGCACTCTCCGAGGAAGCACCGACACGACTTGTGCGGGTGTCATTGGTCGGGACAGTAACGATCAGTGGCTTGGAAGCTGCATCAGGAATAATGACACCTACACCGTTCTCCAGGTCGAACTCTGGGGGTGCTCTGGATGATCTTTAGCTGGCTTGAAATTTAGGGTCGCGTCATGTGATATTTGAAATAGATAATGCCCTTGCTGTTCATCTTCTGAATTGTGCCCTCAACAATGAGCAGATCCCCACCAACGTAAATTCTCACCTAGTTTTGGCTATTCAATCTTTACTGGTGAAAGATTGGCACGTCATGATCCAACATGGTTATCGTGAGCAGAATCGTTGTGCGGACTTCTTGCATAACCTGACATTTATTTTTTCCCTCAGATTCTACTATCTGCTGTAGCCACCCGCTGAGTTTCTGAGTATCATTTGTGAGGACTTTATTGGAGTCTCCTAGCCTAGAATGTGCACTCTTTAATTGTCTCTATTTGCTTTTTTTCTCCCTTGTATCCAAACAAAAAAAAAACTGTAATTTAATGGTGAGAAAGTATTGAAGAAAGTGCTACTATGTGTATTTATTGTGGTATTTATTTCTTTAAAAAATATGTGCCTCCATTGTGATATACATGCTACGATCATGGAGAAATAAAATCACATGAAAATAAAAAACCCAAATCTACCACGTGGAGCATATTAGTAAAACAACTTTATCATCCAATAACAATAATCTTGTTTCAAACTTCAAATAGAGACTATTCTCTCAAAAATCAAAAGAGATCAATGTATAATGCTTATATGTGATGTAGTGCTCAAGCATGAATACTCATTCATAGCTGTAGCCCTAACTGACGAAAAATGCATATGGAAACATGTTTGGACTGCCAAGCTGTATGATCACCACGCGTTATTGACTGAAACAACAGCCACAATCAAAGCACTGTAATGACTCCTCATTGGCTATCATGTCGCT